GTGATGATGACACAGTGGTGAGATTAGGGTGGTTTTTTCACCAAACGCTTTTCACAGTATGTGAAAAAAAATATACCAAAAATGGTGTCAAAACAGAAGATGCTCAGAAGCTGCTGGGCCCTTATCTCTGCATTGATCACTGAAAAAAAAATGGTTCTTCTTGGAGGGGGGGAAAAAAAAGCAGAAGATCAAGCTGGATTCAAGCCAATCCTGATGACATTTTGGTGACTCTTATGAGTCATCAATGGTGTGTCCTCTCTCCCATTCACACGTTGAGACCCTAATCCCAGTGTCTTGGTATTTGGAGGTGGGGACTTTGGGAGGTAATCTGGTCATGAGGGTGGAGCCCTGATGAACAGATTTGTAACCTGTAGAGAAAGGGGCCAACTAGCTATTTCTGTCAATGCAAAAGCAGAGGAGGGCCCTCCCAAGGACCCCATCGTGCTCCCACCCTGATCTTGAACTCTGGTCTCCAGACTGTGAGAAGCACATTTTTGTCGCTTGGGAGCCACTGGATCTGTGGTACTTTTCATGACAGGCTCAACTAAGATGGTGGCCGTAGGATCTGTGGTACTTTTCATGACAGGCTCAACTAAGATGGTGGCCGTAACACAAATGAATCTGAAAGTGCCCATGACTCTCAGAGGCTGCCAGATTCTAACTTTCAGTACCTCAGAAAGACGAATGCACCCTTGTGATGGGGAAATTCCCCCTGGAGGACAGAGCACAGGGAAAAAAATTACAAAACACTGAGGGTCAAATTTTTCAAAACCTGTTGAGTTACCCTCAACATCTTCAAAGATAATTTTCCCCTTACAGTCTCCTTCTTTAAAAAAAAATTTTTTTTTGGAGGGAAAAATAAAGACCTTGTCATAGGAACTTTGTACTATAACATTCTATATTCTTCTATAAATAATTTTTGCTACATGCTGGAATGTTCTAGAAGGCTTTCAAGAATCTGAATGTAGGAAGGAACACAGAAGACATTATTGTTAGCTCAACCTCCTGATGTCTCCGATCTGGAGTCTAATCAGGTCCCTCCTGAAGCTAGTGACAGTCAACTCAGAAGCTACTTCTTCTTCACAGCCTGGCTTCACTCAGGCCCCTGTCATGACTTGACTGTGAGTGTCCGGACAAGGGGACACTGTGTTGGTTACTCAGGAACAGTCAGAGGTGTCTGATGGGCACTCGGGGAGATTAGCAAGAGCATCTGCAGAGCAATGATGAGTTAGTCTCACCGTCAGCAGAGGAGCTGAGATGGGAACAGAAACAGCTCTAAAATAAGGTGGAAGGCTTGACGTGTCCTGAGAGAGGAGTAGGATGGGAGCGGTACCCAAAGGAAGGAAACCGCTCCTGATCCCAGGGTGGGTGGTGAGCCAGCAGTGATCTTCAGAGCTGGGCTTGAAGATGAGCAGGAGCTGGCCTGGAGCAGAGTGAGCCAGAGAGAGGGGATTGGGGGTGGGGGTGGGGGTGCAGCAGTGCTCACTTAGTGGGTGAAGGCAGCTGGAAGGGAAGGTTGGTTGGCAAGGGAGGTTGACACTAGATCCCTTGAATGCTGGGCAAGGGGGTCGAATGCAATTTTGTTCTGTGCACTTTAGAAGGGGTTGTGCTGTACAGTATGCCGGTGTTAAATTGGGGCTCTTTACTCCCATGAAGTTGGGCATCCAGCTCTTAGCCTGGCATGGAGTCCTCTTTACAGATTCATAGCATCTTCCCCCAAACTACAAACTTGCTACATACGTGATACGTGCAAGGATTGCATGTACAAAATTAATTTTTTTAAATATTTTATTTATTCATTCATGAGAGACCCAGAGAGGCAGAGACACAGGCAGAGGGAGAAGCAGGCTCCCAGTGGGGAGCCTGATGTGGGACTCGATCCCGGGACCCCGGGATCATGCCCTGAGCCAAAGGCAAGATGCTCAACCGCTGAGCCACCCAGGTGTCCCCAGAATTAACTTTTTAAAAAGATTTTACTTATCTGTATAACACAGAGTGAGAGAGAAAGAGCACAAGCAGGGGGAGCGGCAGGCAGAAGGAGAGGGAGAAGCAGGCTCGATCCCAGGACCCTGGGATCATGACCTGAGCCGAAGGCAGACGCTTAACCAACTGAGCCGCCCGGGTGCCCCCCAGAATTAACTTCAATATGCGATGTCGCCAATATTGCTGAGCCATAGGTGCTGGGATGCTCTTTTATTCAGGATAAAGGTTTGACAAACTTATCCTGATGTTAAAATAAACTAATTAAATCCCGCAAGGTTCACAAGAATTGGGCTTTCCATGCAGAATAATAGAAAAATAAACCAAGTATACTTTTTCATTCCCAAGGTCAGCAGTTTAACCTCAGTTTCACCTTAGAGGCATGTTCCCTGTCTTCTGTGATGTTTGACCGGGACCGAAATTCAAACCCAAGTCTAAAGCTGCAGGGCAGTTAATTGCAAAAGGATAATCAACATTTAAGGGATCCCTGGGTGGCGCAGCGGTTTGGCGCCTGCCTTCGGCCCAGGGCGCGATCCTGGAGACCCGGGATCGAATCCCACGTCGGGCTCCCGGTGCATGGAGCCTGCTTCTCCCTCTGCCTGTGTCTCTGCCTCTCTCTCTCATTCTCTGTGACTATCATAAATAAATAAAAATTTAAAAAAAAAGAGAAATGTTTAAAAAAAAAAACATTTAAAAAGCCTCGGTGGCTTATATTTTCCCATCAGTGTACCTCCCTGGGGAAAAGGAAAACCAACACACTCCTCCACTCAGTATAAATGTTAATTCTGGACACAACTTCCCTCCTTATTCTTTCCGCCAACAGAGAAGCTTCACACAGTCGCCTTGAATAGTGAGTTTGTATCAAATCCTTGTTTGAGCCTTTTGTTCCCTCTGGTATTCGAAGGCGGACCCTTGTGAAATATAGCTGCACAGCGTTTTCATTCGGAGACTCCTTACTGCAACCACAGGACTGTATTTCGGTCACCCCGCTAATTTCTGAGAAAAAAATCACAGCATGTATTTTAAAACACTGTCCTCGGTCATTTGTTTCATGAGGATTTGCCAAATTTCCCATCACCAAAACGAACCTCCGGTTTAACCTATAAACTCTGAGTTTCCTGCCTTCTTGAAACCAAAGTCTTCTCTTTTCTCTTCCAACAACCCACACTGTGGGCAAAGGAACAGGTCATTTTGAGAGCATCTCATGGCAATTAAAGTGCCAAAACACTTTACTGGACAATACTGGAGTCTTGGCTGCTTCCTTTGACAAAGGAATATTCTATTTCCAACAACAGTAAGGAAATGTTTTTCTTTTACTTTTTTAAAATTAATTTTAAAAAAGATTTTATTCATGAGAGACACAGAGAGAGAGGCAGAGACACAGGCAGAAGTAGAAGCAGGCTCCATGCAGGGAGCCCGACGTGGGACTCGATCCCGGGACCCCAGAATCACACCCTGAGCCAAAGGCAGATGCTCAACCGCTGAGCCACCCAGGTGTCCCCAATTTTTTTTTTAAAGATGTCTTGACTTCTTTGGGGGATTTAAATGCTCAAGTGAGTTTAGTGTCAATTTTTTAAGGTCTTAAATCTCTCAAAGAAAGCCTTTAACGACCTGTTTTCAAGGTACAGATTTGTAGGTGTGTGCAGATTTGTAGCTATTTCTAAGTCTAAGTCTTTCAATCTCCATTTTTCTTGGGACCAACAGTGAAATTTATGTTGAAGGTGAGACCTCGGAACAGAATTTCTTTTTTGCCCCTAAGGCCTGGAGCCAATTATTCTGGGGCACAGCCATCACCACGGAACATTTATTCGAATCAGCTATACAATCCCGATTGTGGGGAAAGGCCCTTCATTCTCTTCTGGGAAAGTACATGCTGTTTTGGATATATGCCATTTAAGCAAAGGTATGAACATGTCAAAAGTTATTTAACAGGGGCACCTGGGTGGTTCAGTGGTTGAGCATCTGCCTTCAGCTCATGATCCCAGGGTCCTGGGATCGAGTCCCGTATCAGGCTCCCTGCAGTGAGCCTGCTTCTCTCTGCCTATGTCTCTGCCTCCCTGTGTCTCTCACGAATAAACAAATAAAATCTTAAAAAAAAAAAAGTTATTAAGAACCTCCCACTTAGCTGAAGCTGTAAAGGAAAAAGATGGGTGGTATGCCTAATAGGATTTGATGAGGATGATGCTTTACCTCTGTGGTCCCCCAAACAACATAATCGAGTCTATCATGAGAAACACATCAGACAGATCCCAACAGAGGGGCAATTTACAAAACAGCCACCCAGCATTCCTTCTCAAACCTGCCATGGTCATCAAAACCAAGGAAAATCTGAGAACCTGCCAAGAGAAGCTGAAGAAGAGACAATTAAATGTGATCTGGTGTCCTGGATGTATTCTGGAACGGAAAGGGACAGCAGGGAAAAAACTAAGGAAATCGGAATAAAGTGTGAGCTTTAGTTAATAATAAAGTCTCAGTATTGGTTCACTATGACAAAGGTACCAGACAAAGGCAAGATGTAATGATGATTAGGGCAACTATTGAAAGGGTGTGGAATACCGGAGAAACTCTGTGATCTTTGTAAATTTTCTGTAAATCACGATCTAAAATAGTTGATTGAAACAAGAAAAATGAGTGGTTAATATGTGGGTTTGTTTTTAAATCACCATTTCAATTACAATAGACCCGACAGCAATACTCCTGCAGGCCGACAAACCAGGACTAGTGCGGGTTGGTTGAACAATCTTAAAAGGAGCAGAGAGAAAAAGGAGTAGCCCTCCTTTCCCCATTGCCATGTCCAAACATAATTAAGTGTCTGGGAGCTTGTTTGGATGAGGTCCACATCCCCATTTTTAGTAAGGAAAAGTTTGTAGCTTAATAGGAAGGTGAAATATTGTTGGAGTTGTGCAGAGATTTCGGTGCTTTTTAAAAATCACTATGCTTTTGTTTTCAAACTTAACTAAGTATCTGCTTTACACTTTCATTTATCAAACTGTTGGTTTAAATAACATCGTAGTATTGAATAGTTTATAAATGTTTATTAATGTCAGTAATTTTACAAAGCAAATATTAATAGCAAGAGGCAAAATTTTTGCAAAATATGTACAAAAGTAAAAAGCCTTAATGCCTAGCGATTCATTGTATAAAATCAAACCATTCTTTCCACTTTCAGACCTCCTTTAGAAATAATTTATTGCCAATCCTGAACTAAAGCACTGACAGGAAAAAAAAAAATTTACAGCAATATCAGATAACCTGCTTCTTAGTTTCTGGAAAGTTATAAAAAGATTTAATACGTATAAAAAAACCTAAGTCACAAGTATTTTTTATACAAAGCTAATACAAATCATGTTTTGTTGGGTACAGTATCTGTGAGGTTGTTACAAAATATACTTCTTGATAAGGCTTCTTGTGGTAAATGAGCTCTCATCACGGTAGAGTGGTACAGAAAAGCCATTTAAAACATTTTGCCATTCTGCTTTCAAGTAAGAGGTAAAGAGAGAGCAAATGGTATATAGTTTGTTGCATTGTTACATATACTTTCCGGGAATTAACCCCCTACCCTCCCTTTGTTCCCCCCTGGTACCATCAAATGGGCATAACTGAGGACAAATATATCACTTATTATAGCAAGAAACATTATAAACAAGCTTTCTAAATACAAATCCAAATCAGAAACCCAATAAGTAGCATATTTCTATCACCTCACTCACAGATTGAAAATGTATGCATAGTGGGTCCTAGCATACTTTGATCTATCTGGAAATTTTTTTTATCAACAGCAGATTTGGATAGGTCCCCAAATCTCCCATCAACCCAGAAAATACTGCCCAATCATTAACTCTTTTTGTTCCGTATGAGCTCTGGCATTTGAAAACGGATGGTCAGACCTGGATGCCACAAGAATGAACATATTTACTTAAATGCTAACTATACATTCAAGTAGACACAAGAATGCTAGTGGTACAAACACTGTACTTCTAATGTTGTTAATAATCACTTACCAGCCTAAGGCTAGCATTGCTTTGATGGCACTTGAAAAAGCCAGAAAGTCCAACCTGTTTAAAATGTCCAGGTTTAGACTTCAATTTTCTATTATGAACTATAAGCCCTAACCTCGTACCATAAAATAATGGGTATGTGTTATACCTTCTGCCTTATTCAGAACATGGAGACTCATACACACCCACTCTCATACAAGCCCCCCCTTTCATGTTTACCAGGCTGAAAGGCCAGCCTGCATCCTATCAATAAAAGAAAATCAGTCCTTACAGGGAAGCAGCACAACATGTGCAACGAATGAAATGATGAGAAACGACATAAAGTGACCTAGTTCTAGGTCAAACTTCCAACTGAAAAAGACACATGCAAAATTTATCTTCTTGATTCCCTCAAGAAAACTAATAGCAATAAAAAGGTAACAGAGCAAACTTTCTCTAGATTTATTGGGGAGTTTGTTACAAATGTTTGACTGAGCTTTACAGGCATGATTTCATGGATTCAAACAAGAAATTAAGAGTTAACACTGATCCTTAGCCTTCTTATTTTACATATACAGAAATAACATTGCTACAAATTGCAACGGAGAGAAACTTGTTTCAAATGGCTTGGTTTGGGGTTTTGTCTAAATGAATCATTACATAATGAAAGCACCAATTTGAGGCCTTCTCAAATAGTGATTTGAATTTCAGAACATAACAGAACATGACTTGGTCACTTTATTCTTCACATAAATAAGGCATAACCGGATATATGTACTAAGGCTGAGAATACATTTCATCGAAAGCATAAATACACGTACTTGGGTACACACTGGGAGTTAAGATTTACTCATTCTCTCTTTACAAGAAAATGACAGGGCATAATCATTTCTGTTGCATCTAAATCAATACTTCTAATCATTTCTGGTATTAACATACTCTTACTTCCTTCAACTTTAAACCAACCACTGCCACCAACTGAAAAAGGATTTCCCTAAACAACCTCAGCTTGAGAGATTAACCAGAGGATCTTCACTATGTAAAACACGCGCCAGTGCAACTTCAAAGAAAACAACAAAAAACGGGTGATCTTTTTCATTCGACCTCACCTTCTTTGGCTGTGGTTGCTCTGCAGCTACCAAGCACCTTTTCCAGACAGTAACATTAACATGAAGACTTTGATTTCATACAATATTTGGCAGGAAGCAATGATTTGGGGCATTAAAAAATGATATTTAAGTGGCAGAGGCAAGCCTTATATCATGTGGATCTTCAGAAAACATTTGGCAAAACCGTTTCCCTATAAAAACAGAGACCCAAATTTGTGGTGCTCTTTGATTTATAAGGCAACTCTGTATACTTATACATTTCTTCAAGGGCAATGAGGACACCTTTGTGACATTTCTTAAGAATTCAACGAGAAGACATTTGGATTTAGGAACACAATGTAATAGAGAATTAGGCACATTTTATTCCAAATCATAACCATTAAGACTTAAAAAGGCAAACACACTTCAAAGAACTTTAAACCACTGTTTTAGAGATGAAGGGATATTGGCATAGTAAAGTGATGAGCCCCCTTTCAATTTGGTTCACTAAATTTCATTTTCTTCTTCATATAGTGGTATTTCAAAAGAATCTAGTCTTTATAATACAGGTATTAAGACTCCTTCAACTGGTTTTAAATACAATATGTAAAAAATGGGGAGCTAAAGGCTTCAGACTGAGACCTCACACTTCCACTGTCTAAACAAGCCTGCCATTAAATAGAAGTAATCTGCTGCCTCAAAATATAGTCTCGATTTTATTTTAAAAAAATGTTGAGACATCACAAACATCAGGAAAGAAAGTTGCAAATACCCAAAATCTTCCCATATCTATTTGGTGTTGTAACATTTCTTGGTGGTAGTCTTGGTGATTGCTGCTTTGTCAGGCAAGATTTATGGTTCGTATCACAGATCTTAAATATAACTTAAATAAGACCAAGTTTGCTCTTTGTACAGGGAACTTACTTTAGCCTTCACTGAAGTTCAATGGTTTGGGCCATTCAACTAAACTACTTGCGAAATTTACACAAAGACTCTCCAGCAAAAAGTCCCAATGTTACTGTGCGCATATTCAGACATTCACTAGCACTGAAGTTATTCTAATTCTGTGAATTTAAACACTATGTTCTTTTTGGCAAGAAGCACTGGATGTAGAACTATTCAAACATGCACGAACTGTATACTACGAAGACTTGCATTATGATGCAGGGCTACGTGTCTGTAGCACATGTATGACCAAGGCATGAAAACACTGAAAGTTACTATGGATAGAATGATGGTGGAATTTCAAATGCAAGAAAAGTCAAGAACAGTTACGAACAATCCCTGGTTAGCTCACTGAAAAGTCCTACTCTCACACTAGACTGCAGACCAACCAAGAGCCACCATCTTGGAAAGGCTGCACGATCCGTAATGTTGACCAATCTTTCAAGGGCTTTCTAGCCAACAGAATACCTGAGAACACAGCTCTACAGTAAAGTGACAGGTATCACAGTCTTAATCACAATTTTCAGGAAAAGGAGAAAAACTGTCAGATTTTCCAAACTGTCATCAGCCTTGGGCATTTGCCTCTCTAGTCCTGGTCTAACACCACACACAACCTACAAGGCAGTATTCTCAGTACTGCAAACCAGTTCCTCTGATGAGTTCACCATGACCACATCTGAGATCACAAAGCTGCTGCAAGGGTATACTTTCATCTCATACGTGGTGAGATCAAATGCAATCATATTTTGGTGTGACCTAAAAAAATTACTGCTTATTCTTAGAAGTATCCCCAAAACATTCAAAATGTACCTCAATAAAGCTAGAATTTCATAAGCAATAATGATATGAACATGTAGGTGTATGTTTTAGAGACACACCAAGAATGAACACATATCTCAAATAATGCCTTCCTGAGTCATCTGACAGGAAAACACTGACCTTGGCAAGCTCCAAATAAAAACTCCCATATATGGCACAGTTGGAGTTGATGGGAATAGACAGGAGAGCAAAAGAAAGATGTTCTGTGATGGTACAACAGTGATTCTCTGCAGTGAGGACCCGAATCCTCCAAGACAGGACATACAAGTCTGAGCGTAAAGCACGTTAACATCCTGGAAACGGTATGTTTATTTAGAAAGCTCTGTTATCAAGTTACTTGCAATTTTTATAGCTGCTGCTACGGCCAGAATGTTTCACATATGGCACATTTATTATATGATATTTAAATATGAAAAGGGCACACTATATTTCACTCATTACTTTGCATCAAAACACTCTGTACGGCATTGGCTCCCTCTTGCTCCCCTCCCCCAGCCCCGTACCATTTGTGAACTTCCATTAGCATCAGACCAGGAATCCTTATGTAAACTTTAAAACACTAAGAACATTACCTTCAGAAACCACAGAAATTTTAAAACTAAACAACTGTCGCTATATAAGCAATTAAAAAAAACACGAAGGCTAAATCTGTGTAAAGCTACAGAATGCCAGTCCTTAGATCAAACTTTTTTTCCAATAGCCCTTTCAAAACAGGTCGCCATAAAGCGAGGCACAAGTGTCGCTGCCATGCACAGGACAGAAAAAAGGGACCTTGCTTGTGTCAGAACCGAATATTCTTAACCTCATACCAAGAAAGATTCGAAGACACCTTCCATACTTGGCACTACAGAATTCAGTTTGAGAAGTGGAAAAAGCTAAAGCCTGAACTCTATCTAGTCAGAGGCTTGGCAGGAAACTAGAACCCCCTCAAAGGGAAGCCACAGTGAAACAGATCAAAGAATGAACATCGACAGGTATCGGCGATTGTTACTCAGCAGCTTTCAGCCAGCCACAAACCAAAGTCTGCAGGAGGAGGACTAAGATTTCCAAGAAGTTAAACTTAGAATCAAGATTTTTTTCATTCCTGTTGTAAACTGCTATTTCCAAAAACAAAACAAACAGAACACAATCAAGAGGACAAAAGGGATTAAAATGGGCAGTCTTCTGTCCATCACTGTAGCATGAGCTGCTTGAGGTTGTCGTGAAGAATGGTGTCCTTCACGTCACGGAACACGAGGCGGATATTCTCTGTGTTGATGGCAGTGGTGAAGTGGTGGTACAAGGGCTTCTGCTGCTGGTCCCGGCGTTTGTTCCGGAAACATTCCACCAGGAATTTTTGGACGTCTCTTAAGCAGTGGGGATCCCCTTCAAATTCTAAGAAATAGTCTTTGATGCTCACAATTTGCACTTTCTCCTCAAGCAAATCTGTCTTGTTTAAGAAGAGAATTATGGAGACATTGCTGAAAACCCGGTTATTGACGATTGTTTCAAAAATGTTCAGAGATTCTGTAAGGCGATTGGTCAGTCGGTCTTCCATAAGCACCTGGTCAAATTCACTTGAGGAAACAAGGAAAAGTATTGATGTCACGCTGTCGAAGCATTCAAACCATCGTTTTCTCTCTGATCTTTGACCACCCACATCAACCATTTTGAAAGGAACATTTTTAATTTCAAAGTCATATTCATGAATGCCTTTGGTGGGTCTTCTGGCAAGCAGAATATCTTGTTGCGATGGAATGTAATCCTGGAAAAGAAAAAAACTGCTTTACACTCAGTAACCCAGAAGTAATTAACGTTTCTGATGAACTACTAACTGGTTGAATGACTGGATATGCAAATAACTTATCTTTAATTTTTTAAAAAAGATTTTTAAAATTTATTCATGAGAAAGAAAGAGCACACACGCATGTGCGGGCACGAGCAGAGGGAGGGGCCAAGGGACAAGCAGACTCCCTGCTGAGCGGAGGAGGGCCAGGGATGCGGGGCCTGACCCCAGGACCCTGAGATCAGAGATCATGACCTGAGCAGAAGTCAGATGCTAAGCTGACTGAGACACCCAGGTGCCACACAAACTTATCTTTTCAATAACTTCTGGCTGCATTAAAGCATCAGTACACTATTATTCTCATTACAAAATGCCAAGATATATTAAAATGTTGAGGTACGAAGACTGGTTCAAAATTCTATGTTTTTCACTCCTGCAGTATCTTCAGACTGAAGTCCTAACTCTCGGGTGTCCCATCGCCCTGCCTACTGTTGTGTCTCTACCCCTAATATTACTCCTCACTGACCACCCTCTGCTCCGGCCAGAGTGACCCAGGGCTTCCTACTCACTCCTCCAACCTGCTTCTTGTCTCTCTGTGAAAAGCAAGGAGGGCTGAAGCGCCAATTTGTGAAGGCCACCTCCCGGCGCACAGTTCTGGCTACCTCTCTCTAAACACTCCTTTCCTGTGCCCTACCTCCATGACTAAAAACTCCCACAATGGTCACTCCACTTGACCACTGCAGCCATACCATGTGCGTGGCAAACGGCACTTCTACTACAGCCGATGTACTGGATTTACTTGGGGTGGCCTCCTAGGTGTGCTTCCAGCATCTGGCCCAAGCAGCTGTGCTCCCACCTTCTCACTTCTGACACAAGGAGTCACCCTGTCAGTGCCTGGGCCTGTGAAGTAAGTGGAGGGGACCACACAGGGCCGGCCGCCCCAGAGGAGAGCTTATGCAAAAACCAGATGAGCCCTTCCCTGTGAAGCGGACCAGTCAGCTTTGAGACCCTGGACAGACAGAAGTTGCTAGTCTCAGAAGTCACTAGGCTCAGAAGTCACCAGCTACTCCAGACAGCGTACTTCCAGATGCAGAATAACTGGTTCCTTCTTTTCAGGCTAGTGTGTTTCCAGAACTTTGACTTGGCTCTTTGGCAATACTGAATAGGAGAGCTTTTTAATGCTCATTGTCAAGGTCAATTTTTTCTTTTTTAAATCAAGGCAAGATTTTCAAACAACGCTGACTGTTACAATGCTGTATTTTATGCTTTTCCAAATAGTGTAATATAATTTTGAAATTTCATTACAATGTGAGTATTTCTTCAAAATGATTCTATAGAGTTAAGCATTAAAAAAAAGTAGGCAGTTCTCAGTTATATGTAATCCATAACCATTTATTAACTAATGCTAGGCCTCCATAAAACATGCTGGCATTTCCAGGCTTCCTTTTAGCTTCTGTTCACATACTTAACTACTTTACTTACAATCAGCACATCCACAATTTTTAGCCTGCCCTACTTTACTTAACATTTCATCATGAACTGTTATGCACACTGAGACAGTTGTATTTCACTTTAAAGGAGTATAAATAAATGTGCCAAATGGATTAATGTACTGTCATTTACATACATACCCCCGACCAGTGTTCATTAAGGCTGCTTCCAATTTTTTAGCTTAATAGAAATTCCGCAATTAAAATTCTCACACACGTAACCATCCTCTCCCCTCTTTGGACGATTTCCTAAACTAAATAACCAGAAATAAGATTAGGAAGCCAAAGTTTATGAATATTTTGATGACACTGGACACTTAAAGCCTTACTGCTTTCCAGAAACGCAGTACAAATTTGCAGTGCACGTGTGCCAACTGCTTCAGAAACATGCCAGCTCTGGGTAGTTGTTAATTTTCCAATTCCATAAAAATTGTAAGTTCTTCTTGCTCACTTAGAAGCTAACAATCTAGTTAAGAAGCTAAGGCTAATTCCTAGGAAGCCCCCAAACCAGTACAATGTAATCAACTGCTAGCTGCTCTGGCAGAAGCAGGGAGTAGAGAACTGGCAGTTCCAGAGCCAGCTCTTCACATACTAGTCGTGTGACCCTGGCCAAGTCCTTTAGTCCTAGTGCATCTCCACTTCCTCATTGGTGAAATACAGACAGTAACATTCACAAGGGGGCTGTGAGGCCTAAATGAGCTCAACAGGGAAGTGCTCCTGGGCCGGCCGGCATACCGTGCATGCGCCGCACAGTCTAGCTGTAGAGAAGGAATCCAGAAGGCCAGACAGCTGGGTGAGCTCCTGTCACGTCCCCTGGTTCTCTTATTATTTATTATCTTCTTTATTATCTTTATTTTTTCGGTGGGGGGGGCAGTGGGAGGGGAAGGGAGCAGGCTCCACACCTAGCTTGGAGCCCAATGTGGAGCTCAATCTCAGGACCCTGCATGACCTGAGCCAAAACCAAGACTGCTTAACCGACTGAGCCGCCCAGGCGGCCTGGGCCCCCTCCGCCGCTCTCTCATTTTTAAATGCTCACCATTCACTCTGCACTTGACAATCTATTCACAAACACACATATTCAATTAAGAAAACTCATTTTCTTCCTAACCAACTCCTCTCTAAGCCAACCAGCATGCTCTCCTTTCTACTTCCTGCTCCATTAACAATCCCAGCGGTAAGACTCCCCCGTCTAGGGGGAAGACTAAGGACTTTTCTCTGCATTACCTATTTTATCTCAAATCCTGTTTCTCCTTATTTCTGCTATTCCTGTTTTTTATCATCTTGGGTGTGGATTACCACCTCTTCGCTAGTTTCCCTGCCCTGAATGTCTCGCATCTCTTGGTTCCATCCCTAAGCCACTCTCAAACTAACATTCCTGCATCATAACTTTAGAACTCACTTGGAGGTTCCTCACTGCATCCGATCCAAACTTTGCTGACTTGTTTTCATGAACCTCTTTACTCCTAGTTTTCTGGAACCGGAGACTCTGCTCTACATTGTCTAGGCTTACCACAGAGCCTCACATCAAGACTTGCCAAAGCTGCACATCTTGGTACCATTACATGACCATTCACTTGCACAACTGTACAACTACAATAAACAATGTATCCAGACCCAAGCTACTGCCTTCTAAAAATCTGGTTTTATAAGTTAAAGCCAAGAATGTCACAGGTCCTTTGTCAGAAAGATGTGCCTAAAATTAAACATATCCAGCTGTCTCCCGTCTTGGTGGGCCGCATCTCTTTACATATCTAAATTCATCTCATCCTTCAGATAGTTTAGATTCACTTACTCTTATGGGGTAGCTCCAACTTCCCTGGTCAGAATATGTCTCTCCATTCTATGAACTAATACTTACCTTTTTTCTTTAAGACAGCTTTTTTTTTTTTTTAAGATTTTATTTATCCATTCATAGAGACACAGAGAGAGAGAGAGAGAAAGGCAGAGACACAGGCAGAAGGAGAAGCAGGCTTCATGCAGGGAGCCCGATGTGGGACTCGATCCCAGGTCTCGAGGATCACGCCACGGCTGCAGGCGGCGCTAAACTGCTGCGCCACCAGGGCTGCCCGAACTAATACTTATCTTCATGATTGGTATCATTTATTTGTCCTCTGCTTGTTTTATGTATAATTTTGTCTCTGACTAGAATGAATTCCTTAAAAACAGGGAACAAAGAACACAACAGCTAACAAGCACTTCCTACAAAGCACTATTCTGAATACCTCACTGAGTATTACAGACTGAATGAACTATGTCCCCCCAAAATTCATATCCTAACCCCAATGTGATTGTATTTTGGGAAAGGGCTTTTACAGGACATAACTAAGGTTAAATGAGGTCATAGGGTAGGGTCCTAATGAGATAGTCTTGGTGGTCTTATAAGAAGAGTAAGAGATCTCTGTTTCCTCACGTGAATGCACTGAGTCAAAGCCATGTGAAAAAGCCACAGAAAGAAGGCTATAGTCTGCAAGTCAGGAAGAAAGTCCTCACCAGAAAATAACCATACTAGTACTTTCATCTTAGACTTCCAGCCTCCAGAACTATGAGAACTAAATGTCTGTTGTTTAAGCCACCCAGTCTATGGTGTTTTGTCATGGCAGCCTGAACAGATGAAGACATGGGGTTTATTTCATGTAATTATCCCACAACTCTCTGAGGTCAGGTTCTTTCTATGTCCATGATATGAAGAAATTATGGTTTAGAGAAGCCTATGGTCACACAGAGCTAGTCTGTGAAAGAACTGGGCTCAGGACCCAAGTGGTCTGGCTGCAGAGCCCACATCCTTGACCCCTGTGCGGTTCCACTCCCCAGAGGGTCATGGGGCTTGGCACACAGCAGGGCTTCAATGCCCTGGTACTTCAATCAGAGATGGAGAAGCAAAGGCAATCATGGAACTTGTCTGATATGCATAGAATGAATGGCCAATCTGTGACACAGCCGGTTTACTCTCCCCTCCTTTATACCTACCAACTGAATCACCGCACATTTTTTATTTTATTACAGATGTGGCCTCAGAATTGTTCTCAACCTAAGACTAATACAGACTGACTAGAGTTGGCCTAGAGTCATTAATTCAAGAGCTATTTGTTAAGTGCCTACTGTATTCCAGGCATTGTTACTAGGCATCCAGAACCAAACTCTTCACAATCAAGACATGAGGTCCTTGACCTTATGGCAAGAGACAGGTAAAAGACAAGTAAACGTATAAATAAATAAACTGTAGAAGAGCAATGATTTTTGAAAAAAGTAAGGGCTGATACTGAACATAAGAGGAGGGAACCTAATTTGAATGGTACATTCAAGGAAAGCTTACAAGAAGAGGCAAATTGAGAACAGGTCAAATCAGCACTGTTTGGGTTAGAAAATATGAAATACCCCCCCTTTTTGTTAAATAACTCCTTTTTAAAAAAGACTTATTTATTTATTTATTTATTTATTTATTTATTTATTTATTTATTTATTCATTCATTCATTCATTCATTCATTCATTCATGAGAGACACAGAAAGAGAGAGAGAGAGGCAGAGACACAGGCAGAGGGAGAAGCAGGCCCCATGCAGGGAGCCCGACATGGGACCTGATCCCAGGTCTCCAGGATCACGCCCTGGGCTGAAGGCGGCACTAAACTGCTGAGCCCCCTGGGCTGCCCTAAATAACTCTTAAAAATTAGTTTACCTACTAAGGCTTTCTTCTTTCCACTTGGGCCTATAATGTAACTCTAAGGTTCACAATCTAACCAGATGGAAAAGAGACAATGAAATAAACTCTTAATACCAAGTTTCAATGATGTGGACTGAGTAAAAACCCATTAATATGGAGATCCCAACTTCTGGAACACAAGTATCTAGGAAAGAGGCATGAGAAAAAAAACACTGGCTTAAGTGCAGACAAGTGCAATTTAGTAAAATCCAAAATAAGGGAATTTAAATGTTATCTTGCAAAAAGAAGGTAGATTATCATGTGCCCTTGAATATGTCACTTTCCTACTTGCAGTGGGTTCTTCATTTCATGTTTCTTTCAGTTTTATTTTTAAAGTGAATCTCAAAGAACGTGTAAGACTATATTAAAAGGTATTACCAGAAATCTGCTTTAAGAGGAAGCAAATAATGCTTCAGTAAATCTAGATGGTAACAAATGACTCTAGGGCAGTGACTTTCAAACATTTTCTGAGCACAGCAACCTTTCTTCCAGTCTTTGGCCTGAGTCCACCCCCGAGAACACAGAGCAGCTGCCCTGTCTGCAGCAGGCCCAGGCGGCCAGAGCCAGCCACAGTGCCAGCCAAGAGGAAAATTATCAACTCTCTTTCCAAGGGCGACTCCTTCTCCTCCTTCATGGAGTCTCTTCGGCAGGCCTTTTCTCAACTGAAAAACAGCGTTTGCTAAAAGGTTTTGAAATCAATCAACCCACTGTATTCTGTTTCTGCTTACCAACACACACACACACACACACCCTGAGGTAGAACAGATAATTTACTATCTCATTTTCAAATATAAACTTTCTCTAAACAGTTTTATGTTCATGAATTGGTGGATAAGGCACTCCTGGCGGAAATGGCAGAGATCTGGATAACAGAGGGGGAAAAAAATGAAGCAGAGACAGTCTGGATACTGCCACTAGGAAGGAGGAAGCAGCAAACAGCTTAATACATAATTTTTCTAAACTTCCCAACTAATATCCTGACTACTGCTTTCAAATGGTAATAAACATAAACAAAAACTTACTGCTTCTCCAAGTTTATCCAAGTTATCCAGGAAATATTTTACAGATTCACCCTAAAACAAGAAGAAAATAGTTATTAGAGCTTAGAAATTAAAGATTTTGTTACAACAGTTTACATTATACTGTCTGGTCGTACACTGAATCCAAACAGTTTGTTTAGTTACAAATTTCGGACGGTACAACTAACCCCACTAAGAACATATACAACGTCTGCCTCTGCCAGAGCTCCAGCCTGGTCAACTTCACAAATGCCATAGGCAGTCCCCCAGTGACACTCTTGGTTGACAGGATGACATGTACACTTAGTGACAGAACAATCTAGATATCCAAAGGGAAGATGTAATTAAATAAAAGGTAAAAACTGCTTTTGAGATAAACATACAACTATAATTTATGGGGGATTCTGTCTACATTTTTCTTTTTTTTTTTTTTTGTCTACATTTATCTACCTGAAGTTGACACTGATGGTGGTTATCTTTAGTGACAGAGCAATCCAGAAATGAGGTGAGGACACCGTAAAATCTTTCAGTAAGAGGCACTTGTCTGGACAGACACGCTTTGCTCCAGAAGATTTTGAACGCTGCCGTAGGCTTCATGTCTCCTTGGGTCTCTTCCTGAGGGACCAGCCTACTCTCTGGGCCCCAATATCTATTAGACTTCCAGTTAATTTTGAATATCTACACTATATAAGAATACATCCAAGGAGGAACTACTTGAACAGAGGACAGACAGAGAAGAGGGGAGCCACGTGGGGCAAGAAGGGCTCTTTCAGGACGTTCTCCCTGTGTTTTTAGGTTCTGGCTCGTTTTCTACCACCAGGGCCCTGCACTCCGCCTGCCCATGGCTGTTGCTTCTACAACTTCCTGAAGGTAGTGCTTCTTTCACATATAGGAGAAATCACCTGAAGATCTTGGTCGACTATAGGTTCTGCTCTGGGGCTGGGGATAGGAAGCGGGGGAGGGGTTGGGCAGGGTACATCACTGCCCAGTTGCTTCTGTAGTTGGGGTGACTTTCGAAACCAAACTGGGTCATAGGCCTTATAGAGGTTCTCGATTCATGTTGATCTCAGGATCCCTTTACACATGTTAAGATTCTTGAGGATCCCAAACAGACCTTGTTTATGTGTGTTATAGCTATTAATATTTATCATATTAGAGAGTATAAGTAATTAAAAATATTTTATTTAAAATTTGTTTAAAAATATCAATAATAAACCCATTACATGGTAACATATTTTAGTATAGCTCAATAAAAGACAGTGAGATACTCATTTGCTTCTGCATTTGAACTGCTACTATAGGTCGTCCTGGCTGGCTATATACAGAAAATCTGGCCTGTTACAAAAATGTAGTTGGAAAGGAAGCATTTTAATAAAATATTTTCAGTAGTTTGCTACTATAGCAAAACTTGACGAGGGTAGTTTTAGTCATAGAAACCCTACCAATGAACTTTTCATACTTTGTGACATTGAAGTTCACTGGTTTACCCTGTACTTAGAATGGATCTGTCACCCAACCACTATTTTGTAACACCAGGCACCAATCAGAGGAACACGGTGGGTGAATAATACAGGTCCTCCAAACACAGGCCTGTTTCACTATACTATATTAATAACATCAGAATCATGAGCATCTCTTCCATCTCTCATAGAAGTCTTAAGTATTGGGAAGCTGACAAGCTCACAGTGGTGGACCAACACAAGTTTTCCTAAACTTTGGATTTTCATTTCAAAGCCCAAGTTTTATCAATGGCAACAAATACTTTCCCAAGTTTTCCTTAAAGTGATAGGCTAACTTCACTTCTCTTCTACAAAATATCTGTCCAGTGCTCAAGTCTGAATAAGTTAGTTGGTTTCTCAAGAAAAAATGGTGTTCCGTGAAAAACATGGTTAGTTGGCTCACAATCCAACCAGCTGCAAAAGTGCTTTTCATCCTGCTGTCAGTACACTGCCGGGGTCTTTCAGTGCACCTCCGAGTCCACCACACAGAATAGGAAGACATGGGGACTCAAAGGTCGAGATTTACAACAATCATTTTTAATGCTTATTTAGGAACAATCCTAAGTGGCTGTGTGTGTGTGTGTGTGTGTGTGTGTGTGTGTGTGTGAAATGATAACCACTACTGCATGGTGGTGAAGAATACAACTCTGTGTGGGGCCGATGCCTGGACCTGTGCTAAGGTGCTGGCTGTTTACAGCCTCTGCTGTTCTCTCTGCACCATCCCGGCCAGTGTGAACAGTGAAGAAGGGGAGTAACAGCGTAGTATCATTATGAAGAGTGTTGACTTAACAACTCCCTTTATAGGGTATCAAGAACGCCCCACCCACCCACAATCTGTGGGACACACTTGGAGCATGGAGAAGTACATAGGTTGTGCGCCTGTGGGGAGTCTCTGGCTGATTTCCTCACGATTGTAAGCAACGATAGATGATTTTGCTTTTTTCCTGGAACTTGTATTTATAGTATCTAAAGATCTTTAGGAGATGGGAAAAATTGTCAAGGAATTCATTTTGGATTAATGAAGAGATTATCTGGACAACATTGTGTGGATTTTTTTTTTGCATTGTATCATGAATTTTAATGAAAAAATTAGTATTTTTGTGTTTTGATTGAGGTATATAGGTCAAAGGGAATCTGGGCTTAATCTACAAATATCAACATTTACTTATAGGACTGTTTGTACATCCCAAAAGTGTTTAAAAAGTAAAATTCAAACAAATAATGATTCTGTTACACTAGAGTCTCTTGGACAAATATGATAAAAGATAGTCACTGTTTATGTAGGAGTCTAACAAAACTGTTACCTTTCAGTAATGTGTATATTGAATACTTATGTAATAATGTCAAATACCTTAAATGAAATTTAGATTTCTAAAAAAGGTGTTTTTTGACTGGTAGTGTTGTATATTGCATGTGTTGGTTTTATCCTTGATTTTAGATTTAATATAAATTCACTGTGGAAACTGATAACTAGGATAAAGGTACAAAGGAGGGAAGAGGCAATAGCCATCACCTCCAGCACTCAGGAAAGATCACAGTTAACATCTCAGGACATCTTCCTCCAATGCCTTTTTGTATAATTCACATTGCTGAAATAATTACAAACAAGTTTATGTCCTGATTTCTCCACTTAAATAACTTAAGTAAATTTAATAGTCAAAATAATTCCGGCATTTATTATGTAAAAAGTTAAATAAAACTGCTGATCTAATGCTGAATACTTGCATTGTTTTTAATAAACATTTTTAACATTTAAAAAAACAATATTGTGATAAATAGCTTTGAGTAGAGCTGTATATGCTCTTGAATTATGCCCTGAGTGATCTCAAAAGAATTACTAAGGCAAAGAGGTTAAACATTTTTAAGATGCTTACTACTCACTGCCACAAAGGTTCTACTGACTCTCTCCTACCCAACAAGTGTGAAATTATGATGAAAATAAACTAAGTCGAGATCAGAAGACATCTTTTGCGGATGAGTCTGTAATAAACTAAGGTGCAAACTCTGACGGGCTCCACGCTGTGATCCCCAATGCTTCTCATTTCAGACCCCCTTCCCCCCAGAGCAATGGGGCTCTGTGTACCCAGAGAACGACAGGTTCCATATCCAAATTGACAATATAAGTTCAACTGCACAAAAACATATTTCAATTAGTACTGCTGTTTATCTTAACTAATGGCCAGATAAATGAAAGTTAAAGTCACCTTAAGATGAGCACATTGTCTAAAGCAGCAAGCTCCCCCTTTCCCCTGTAAAAAAAATAAAGGCTTATGACCAACCCATTGTTTCTGAGGGTACAGAGAAGCTTCTATACTCATTCTAGTGAGCTTGCAAATTCAAAGTTTTGAGAAAGTTTTAAGTAGTATGAGGGAAACTTTTAATGAACTTTTTTTTTTACCCATTGTAAGGAATTTATTCAATATAAACAAAATGCTACAAACAAAAAGATATTTTACTTAGTGCTACCTATGATAGCAAGGTTTGGAAGTCCATTTTTCCACCTATCATTAGGGAGATGATTTAATAAGCTTTAGTAAACTAATATAATAATATTATTATATTCATCAAATAATTATTTTAATATAATCGCCACATATGACATATTTACACCATTAAATGCTAAATTACAATAGGAGATCACAGAGTGAAGGTTGCAAAGAAATGACAATCCCTCATCTACAAGTTTTTTTGGTAAGCTTGCCTCCAGCACTTAACTGTGAGCAAAACCTGACCTGAACTGATGTGTTTCTTTACAGTCTTTATTTCTCCTATTTAGTAAAACTATTCAAATGCTTTGCTGCAAAACTATGGATATTGCATAATAAACAGTACATGTACTGTTATCTTTCTGAAATCCAAAAAATTTGTAATTCCATGAACAAATCTGGACTCAAAGATTTATAAAAATGCATTTGTATTACATATGCTTTAACTATTCTATTTAAATATGGAGGGATCCCTGGGTGGCGCAGCGGTTTCGCGCTTGCCTTTGGCCCAGGGCGCGATCCTGGAGATCCGGGATCGAATCCCACGTCGGGCTCCCGGTGCATGGAGCCTGCTTCTCCCTCTGCCTCTGTCTCTGCCTCTCTCTCTCTCTGTGACTATCATAAATAAATAAATTAAAAAAAAAATTCTTAAAAAAAAAATATGGAAAGGGCAGCTTTGTAGCTCAATGAGTGACTATATTCTCTTTTCAAAAAAGGAAAAGAAAATTGTTCCTAATTGTTCATATCTTGGTGTTACAAATATAAAAAAAAAGTTTTTTTCCTTAATGCATCCTGATTTAAGTGCATTCTCTTGGAGTGTATCTGAGATCTTTTAGGTTCAAATTACTACAGGCCTCTGTTTATTGGGAATTCATAATCTCACCCAAATTAAATGATAGTAATTAGTGATATATCCATGTGCATGTTGTTAAATTTCAAATTCTACCGAAGGAAGCTTCATTGGTGTAACTTACACAGTCCTTTGTACACTTGAGACTATATAAAATATTTATAATTAATTTCCACACATTTGATAGTGTGGATTATCTCTAGTACTTAAAGTCCCAAT